TAGGAGGGTGCAGCCAGCTTGCTCCCAGTCCACCTTGGTTGGACAGAGTGGGAGGCCTGGATTGCCACAGAGTTCCTTGTAATCCCTGTCTCAAAGGGGGTCACCACAGAAAATGGTTGATTGCCTCTCAGCCTTCTGCTTCAGAGCCCCCCCCCCCCTCTCAACTCAAAGTGATCTGTCTATCAGCTTTAAATTATCATGGGATGAATAGTACATTTTTCAGGATACCTATGAAGCTCTGGGACTGACAAGGACCTACATCTCTACAACTGCCAGCTCCAAAATTCAGAGAGAATTAGGAATTCACCCCAGAAGTATTGCCTGCAGAACGAAGAAGCTTGTCACTGCCCGCTCCCAGCTGAAAAAAAATGGCCTCCCTTGGGAAACTGAGCCTTATTCTCCAAGGTATCTCCTAAGGCTTCAGCAGAGGTACAACGTTACTTTAGCTGAGTCTACTTGCCTCTGAAGAACAGATTCAACAGAAAGGATACAAAGGCCTAAAGGAGGAGAAGGAAAGGAGAAAGGAAGAGATGGTTGGCACCTGAGGCTTTCCAGTCTCTGGGATATCTGCATTTGCTTCCTCCTCACACTTGGCAAAATGTCATCTGTGCTTCATTGTCTCACCTCTACTCAAGAACATGTGCCCAGGCCAGGTTTTGCTGCTTAAAATGAAATTTTGCAGAAGGATTTCTAGTACATTATTCCAGATTTTCTGAATTGTGTCATACTTCCAATTAGAACCCCAGTAGATCCAGATGCCTGTCCAGCTGCAGAGCTGTGGCTGTTCAGGGATGGCCTCAAGCCCCATTCCTAATCCCACGACCTTTTCTTAAACTCCTGCATCCGTAACAAGGACTTCTTGGCAGGAGGAGTCAGAACTCAAGGCGAGACTGATCTTGACAGGAGCACCAGCAAAGTAAATGGGTTTTCAAAAACCTATAATTTCTCTTCAACCCTTGACTTGACTAAACACACATTTTTAGACAGAAGCACAGTGAGATAGGCATTAAGCGAAAATGAGGCAGACTAATAATGGTTCATATATAGGATAACCTTCTACAAGGGAATTTATCTTTGATTTCAGGGTAAATTTCAGCGTTGCCAAGTTAAACAAATAATACAGCCAACAATTTAACAAACAAGGGGGAGAGGAAGAAGTTACTGCAGCCACAGCAGCCCGGAACTGATGAAGAACAGGCCATTGGAGGCATTAAAATACTGGCTATGAAAACAGGCCATTGGTTTGCCTCACAGTGGATGCTTCTGAGAAGCTCAAGAAATAAGCCAGGCAGCCTGGAAAGGTTGGCAAAGGTAATGACCCTTCAAGGAAAGTGGTGGTAGAGAACAAAGGAGAGCTCCAAGGGGCAGCAAACCTTCTCACCCCTAAACCTCAGTAACTGAGAGCCTGGGGGGAGCCCCGGGGGAAGGACTTCTATGCTGCAAAAGCGGACCAGTTCTCCAATGAGGCAATTTGCTTTTCCAATAAGATGCACAAGGGGGTGACCAGAAGCCTCCAGCTGTGGGACATCTAAAGAGTGGGGACTGCAGCACCAAATATGCCCTATATAAAAACCTATGGGCAAGTCAAAAGTTGAACAGGAGCATCACCATAAATCTCAGGCAATGATGATGTCAAGACCAGATTATAATGTGAAAGTCGTCTTTCTTCAATCGTGGCAGGATCTTGGAAGAGCAACAATAAGAAACGTTGGTACCTGGATAAGACTGCTAAAGTGTTGCAGGTCAGCCATCAGCTATAACACCCCCCCCTTTTTTTTTTCTTGGTGAAATCTATAAAATAGCAAACACAACACTAAGTCCTTCTGTACCAAAGACAAGTTCCTTGTGTGTCTAATCACACTTGGCCACATAAAGTATTCAATTCAATTCAGTTCAACACTTAAAATCCATGAGTCAACAATAATTGCTTCCTGGCAAGCCTAGTTTTAGAGATGGGCTGGCTCAAAGGTACAGGCGAATTGAAGGTGCAGCACTAGAGGACTTGCCAAAGTTTCTCACAAGACATGGTGTGGGAGGGTTAGGTGACATGATGGCAGCAAGACAGGAAACTCCTCGTCTCTTTTTCTAAGGTTGCAAGCAGCACATGAGACAAATGGAAACAACACATTCCAGGAACCATCGTCAGTATTAAGGGTTAGGATTAAATACCAGTTACCTTCTGGACCCATCTGTGACATCGGCAGTACTCTGATGAAAAAAACTCCACTTCAAGTGGAATGTTGTGGATGTCAGCCTCTAATATCAGGCTTCAGACGTTAAATAAGTGAGATGCTTCAGAGAAACAGCATCGACTGGTACTAGTGATCTGGTATTAAACCAGCCACGTGTTTGGCAACCATGCTCTGCTACCTGGCAAGATGACAAGCCTCAGAAAAGGAATTATTAGCTAACTCTTTTCTCACTCTTTGCTTAAATGGGTGGATAGTTAACAATACAATAGGAAATATTAATATCCAGTAATTGGATATTAACAATATCTTGTCAAGCTGGGTTTCCTGTCTTCCTTGCCAATTCACACTGGATATTGCCAAATATTCAAAAGTGATGTGAAGCTGCTTCAAGGACTAAAGATTTGGGAGATGATTGAATGAAAAAAAAAAAGAAATGAAAAAGTTGAGTTTGACATTATAAGAATTTTCATGTCACCTAGAAGTCAGGGCACCTTAGAGCCATCCTGCAGAGTCAAGCCAAGACATAAGTTTAACCCTTGCAGTCCAGACCCATCCTTGGAGACTGAAGGACTCCATTATAACACTGACATTTCTTGTGTCCTTTGTCAATTTCGACTTCCTGAATATGAATTATGACTGACAGAATTATGTTCCACCAATAGCCCCAAAGGCTTGCCAGGTACCACAAGAGGCCCTAATGCTAAAACTGTTTCCCTCTTCAGTTCCCCTCCAATAAACAGCACAAGTACTTGATCAATGGCAGACTTGCTGAAGTCTCTGCCACAAAGCAATCACCTTTACAGCTTTTTTTCAAAGAAAGCAAGTTATATACACATACACACGCACACACGCATACACACAAAAGCTGTACCTCCGGCAGGAGCAGCAACATAGCCAAGAAAAACTTGGACAATTCCCTCCCACCCATCAACCTGGGGTTGGAATTTCCCCACTAGATTATACAGGAACATTTCTTAGTTGTAGACTCCAGCTTTCTGAAGTACCTCAACAGCCAAGTACGTTCCATCCATTTCACCAACACCTCCAAGCTATCCAAGCCACAGCATTTAAAATCAGGACTCCAAGATCACAAGACCAGTAGGACCTATCTGGAATTTCTCAAAAAAGGACAACCTTTATCCTACAGATCAAACAGAAAATGCTCTAGGCAAACACAAATCAATGAGCTATTTATTGTTTCCCCTTTCTTTTCATCATGCAGCTTGTACTCTAGAAAGGTCAAATAGAGGGGTGAGGCACATGCCTTTTTTCCTCTTCCAGGCCTATTCAAACTCTTATAGCCTTTGCACAACTGAAGGCTATGAAATCTTCTCTTGGATGGAAGATCCACTGCAGGGCCTTGTAGAATTTTGCCCTCAAATTCACTCAAGAGTATTTCACTGTAAGACAGTTTCAAGAAAGCTACTCATCTATGGTGGATTCCATTTTAATATATTTCCAAGATGAGCACAAACTTTGATTCTGTATATAGGTGATCCTTGTTTAATGACCACATGTTCACCAACCACTGAAGTTACAATAGCACTGAACAAGTGGTACTTAGGACTGGTTCTCAAAGTTCTGGCCACTGCAGCATCCCTGTGGTCATAAGATTGTGATTCCTGGCACTCAGTGACCAACTTGCAATATGACATTGCAGTGTCCCAGTGATGTAATGCATCCAACAAGCAAAGTCAATGGGGAAGCTGTCAGGAAATCACAAATCAGGACCATGGGACATCATCCACTTAATGACGGCACAGGATCTGCTTAAGGAAGGCAGCCAGAACTGCCATTGCTATGAGGCATCATCACCAACATGGCGCTTTATGATTGCATCACTTAGCGATGGAAATTTTTATTTATTTTTATTTTATTTTATTTTGAATTTGTATACCGCCCTTCTCCCTGAGGACTCAGGGCGGTGAACAGCCAAGTAAAAACATCAAATACAAATATTAAAATACAGTTAAAATATACATATATAAATTTGGCCCCATTAATTAAAAACAATAAACAAAACACTTAAAAACACTTAAAAAAAAAATTAGGCCAGCCCGGCTTGCTGGAAAAGGAAGGTTTTAAGGGCACGGCGGAAGGCACCGAGGTCTTGGATTCTCCTTATCTCTGGAGGCAATTGATTCCAGAGGGTAGGTGCCCCCACAGAGAAGGCCCTCCCCCTTTAGGATTTCAATCCTAATTATGGCCATTGTGTGAGGACTACCTTTAGTTCCTATTTCATGACAGCAACCAATCCCAATCCCCTTATCTCTTGACATGAACAAAAAATCAGCTTCACATTTTCTCTTTTAAATTTCATGCAGGAATGGCTATTTCTCCAATCTTTGAATGCAAAGTTTATAAAGGTGACATGCACAGCTGTATTATCACACAGGCTATATAAAAGAAAAACCATTAAGATATATATGAGACAAATTTGAAAGATAAATTCCAAACTCTTTGGGCATACATGGCCAGATATCCTACCAAAGTTTAAGCAAGGAGATACAACTAAACAGGTCTGAGCTGAATAGTGCCAGAGCAAATTAAACTTGTACTGACATCCCAAGTCAAAGATACTGGGAGAATGGTAAAAAACCTGTTAGAAGCTTGGCAAACCACTTGAAGCAAAAAATATCCTCAGAGAGATCTACTATTGAGGAAAACCTAGCCAAGGTTTGTAATCAGCTTGATCAGCTTGTACTTTTGACCAATGACTTTTGGAGACACACCCAAAAGTAGACCTTCAGGAGATCCCCTAGAAATACCATGCAATAGAAAGGGGAACACTGCCGCTACCCCTCTTACCAGAGATGATAGAAACTGTATCTTTCTCCCAGGATACAACATTAACATATTCTTGCACTGAAGAAGGAATGAGGCACTTAAAAACCGCCACGTTTCCACGCATTGATCTTTGATCCTCCACTCGAACTGTGTAAGGTTCCCTGAACACTGGGAAGAAAAACAATAGGTGAGCAGACAGGTTAGCAACTTGTATACTTCACCCAAAATTAATTTCACACCTTCCCACATCTCTTCACCCTACAGCAGAGGTGGGTTTCAGCAGGTTCTGACCAGTTCTGGAGAACCGGTAAATGCCACCTCTGACTGGCCCCACCCCCATTTATTCTCTGCCTCCCGAGTCCCATCTGATCGGGAGGAAATGGGGATTTTGCAATAACCTTCCCCTGGAGTGGGGAGGGAATGGAGATTTTACAGTATCCTTCCCCTGCCATGCCCACCAAGCCATACCCACCAAGCTATGCCCACCAAGTCACAACCACAGAACCAGTAGTAAAAAAAATTGAAACCCACCACTGCCCTACAGGGTGTATACCAAAGAATGCCCCAGACCATAGCTTCAATAATTAGGATAAGACTGCACCTTATATACCGTATTTTTCGGAGTATAAGACGCACCGGAGAATAAGACGCACCTACCTTTTTTGGTGAGGAAAAGAAGAAAAAGAAATCTCCCTCTGCCTCTGAGCAATTTTGCCTTGTAACAGCAAACAGCCTGCTTTACTTTCATTTTCCTTTTCAGCATAGCTTGATTAGCACAAGGGGAAAAAAAATATGTGCCAGCAATTTACAGAGCCCTACGCAAAACAGCTGAGAGCAAATCAGCTGAGAGTCGGGAGGCTGATCCAATCAACTTGTGCTAATTAGGCTGTGCTGAAGCTGAAAGGAGCTGTTTTTTCTTGCTGTTTGCTTGCAAGGAGGTCACTGCAAGGAGGTGGGTGGGGCTACATTTGGTGTATAAGACGCACCTAGATTTTCACTCCCTTTTAGGGGGGGAAAAGGTGCGTCTTATACTCCGAAAAATACGGTATGTATTTTATCCTGATCTGCTGATTTTCCAGCTTCAAAAATCTCATTCTAGTCAAAACAGGAGAAGACAAAGATGGGAAATACAGCACATGTCCCATCATAAGCTGAAGGCTGACAGAAGATGTTCTTAACCTGAAAAACTGTTGCAGGTTAACGATTTGTCTTCAGTGCAACTGATTGCTATGGGTGGCTTTTAACTGAGATTCTTAAAAATGAATTTCTGCACAAAAAAAAAAAACAATTCAATGGAAAGCTTATTAAAACCAGTGTAAAATGAAAGAACAGAATAAAGAAACAAGCCTTTTCTGGGGATCAAAGTGTCACCAAGGCAGGTGCCAAATAAGCCTCTCTAGGGGGTGGCATTTCACTGTTGCTGTTACCTCCTCCCCGGAAACTCCTGCTAGTCTGTCTTGGTAGCCTAGCCCAGATGTTCACAGGAACACAAGCACACAGGGTACCCTTTGATCCCAACCCCAAAGATCTTTAGAGGTCAAACTGGCTGTGAGTTAAGATTAGAGTAGAATTGCAGGGGGCTGGGCACCTGACAAAGAAAGAAAGAAGAGGCTGCTTTTGAAAACTTCCAGAACTTCATAGAACCAGAGACCTAAAAGGCATCTCAGAGGTAGTCTAGTCAAGCCTTCTCTTCAGTGTAAAATCCACCAGAGCTTCTCCGATAGATGATTATCCAGACTTACATTCCAAGGCCAGCATTAGCCAAATGGCCAGCTGCAAGGAGGAGTTGTACTTTAGGACTCTTTCCTCTCTTGCTTCCCTCTTGCCTGTCCTTCATTCCTTGCCCTTTTCCCAACCTCATAATATCAGGTGTCCTCACCATTGAATAATACTTTATAGGTGGACACCCTGTTTTAGCTTTTCTGCTAAATTGGATATAGGCTGTTCAGATAAAATTCTTAAAGGTAGACCTAGCAGGAGTTACAGGGCTTAACATGCCCCCAAGATTGCTTTAATGTACAAAGAATGATCATAGTATGAAATATGTTATTATAAATCAAACAGAACTTGCTACGAAGCAAGCAAAACAAAAATCTTAAAGCATTTCTCTTCATATCCCTCCCTTTACTTCATCATGATTCTGATTTGTTCCATTTTATGGAGAACTTCATTTGAGCAGAGTTGAACCTGCTCTTTGGTTTTCTATCCATCAATTGTCAATCACCAATATACCCTCTCTTTCCGAGGAAGTTCTCCCACTATCCTCTTTGAGGAGGAGAAGATGCCCACTCCATGTCCAGTTTGAGAAGTCCACAAGCAGGACATGAGTGCCCAGCCCATTCTCACACATGGCTCCTTGTTGTTGCTGTTCCTTATCAGCTCAGAATTCAGACAAGAAGCATAAAATGGTTTTCCTGACACTTGCCACATTCAAGGCAGCAAGCTTCGTTTTAAAATACACAATGTCAAAGAAACATTGTTCTTTGCCTGCTTTCAACTTCTTCCATGTCCAAATGTCTATGGAGATTCTCAATCATCCAGGTCATAGTTGAAAAAAGTGCTTTTTCAAAAGGCGACTGGACTTTCTTTTTTTTTTTTTTTTTTTTTGCTTGAAGACGTTTCGCTTGGATGAGAAACGAAATGTCTTCAAGCAAAAACAAAGAAAGTCCAGTTGCCTTTTGAAAAATCACCTTCGGGACTCTTCCATATCCGTTTATCTCAGACGACTCCATTGGGTTTAGATTTAACAAGATGAAGGAAAAAAATGCTTTAATCCTTTGTTTCAAAGCATTCATAACTTTATACCTTCTACCATGTTCACATTCATTCACTTATTTTTCTAATTAATGAAGCCCCAAATATTGGAGCTCTTCCTCCAATCACCAATCAAAAGGTTCTGTGCTTTCTTCTGATTCCATGGGGTACCTTTTGAGTTGAACTGCAAACTGAAGCTAAACAATCGTAGCCTTGACTCAGCCTCAAGTGGGTCAGCTGCTCTCCATTCGTAGCTAAGGTTTGGCCTATGGGCAGAGGTGCATCTCTCCCCGCCTGACCACAGCAGACAAATCCTTTAGCTTGCTCCCACTGAACAAACTTCCCTCCAGAATGATCAGATGCATTAGATGTCTCTGGGGGCTTCCAGGGGCCCTTCAGTGAAACCCCACTCCCAAGACAGAAGCTGTACCTCAGCTTCTCCAGGCAGACCTCAAGTTTCTTTGCACCTGAACCTGCTCCTTTCTGTGCTGGGCCCTAACAACTGAAGAAATGGAGACATGTAATTTTGGACACGACACCTGGGAGAATTTTCATAGGCCTGACCCCTGCTGAACTTCCATTGCAATGGAGAATGAGCCAGTGGATGGAGGCCCCAGATATATACAACACTTGATTATTGATACCACCCAAGAATGACTACGGATCTAGTCTTGGTGTTCCAAAGATCTAGGTGGCTGCTGCAATGCATTTATTTGGCTAACCCCCTGTGAAGCTATTGAGCTAATTGAGCTAATTTCCCAACCAGAAGGAAACAAGAAATAAAATTGCAAGAAATAAGGACTATCACAAGTCTATTTAAAAAGAGTCTCTTCCCCCTTGCTCCTCACATCCAAGAGAAGAGAATACAAAGGAAGAAGGTTAAAGGCTGCCTATTAAGAATTCTAAGGAAATCATCATGGCACGGAGCCCTCAAAATAAAAATAAAATCATGTGCACATATAGAAACATTTTGTAATTCAAGTAAATAGTTCACTTCTTGGTCTTTAATGTCCTATCCCATCCTATGAGGCAAGGAAGGAAGAAGTTGAGTATCAAGCTGGTCTGTGCACTTTGGCAACTGGTGTTTAATAGTTTACCTAATGAAACCAATGGGGCTCCTTGTCCACCCACTTGGTTGATCATTTGACCAAAAATGGTCTCCCACCTGCTCCTCCCTTCCCTCTGCTTAATTAGTCCTCCAACTGCTTAGCCTGTAGCTCACAAAGGAATGTGCCATCCAGAAAGCAGAATCAGATCTCCTGAAGAGATCTCCTGAAGACCTATTGCATCAGAGGTGGGATTCACATAATTTACCCACCAGTTCGCCCAGCACCAAAAATGTGAGCACACACACATGCACAGGTGCCCGGCCTCAAAAACGTGCCTAAATAGGACAGCATAGATCCAGGATGTGATATCTGCTACCAGTTCGCCTGAACCGGTCCGAACCGGCTGAATACCACCTCCTATTGCATCCCAGTGTATTTTCCTTCCCCCAGCAAATATGATTCTCTGGGACTAAATTTAGCTAGCAACACCTCCCTTACCAGTCGAGAAGAAGGACTGCCCTCCCTCAGCCAGCCAATACCTGCTTTGACCCGGATGTTTGGGCTCCTGATTTTGCCCACGGAGTTCTCTGCAGTGCAGAAGTAAACATTGTCGTGGATAAAGCTGTTGAAGGCAGATGGCGAGAAGGGGTAAAGTTGAAGAGTTCCATTGGCATGGACGTGGCGGATGTGTGGGACATCATAGATGTCATCCCCAGTAGCAAGGTACCAGCGAAGGGTGGCACTGGGTGATCCTGCTGCTGGACAAGGGATGATCACTCCCACAGAGCTGGAGAAGGTCACCTGCTGAATGGAGTCGTTCACAAAATAGAGGCTGGTACCCACATCTTCAGTGTGTGCTATGGGGGCAAGCAGAAAGTGAATGCAGTTCCCAAAGAACAAGATCACCTGAACTTGCAAAGCCCCTGCCTCCCCTCGTTCCTCCTGGCTCAGCACTCCCCTTCATCCAAGTACCATGGGCCCCTTGGAAGGAGGAGAGAAGCAAGTTAGGAAAAGTGCAGAAAAGAGCAGCTCAAATGATTTGGAGGCTAATAGAGATTAGATGCATTTGCTAAAAAAGTTGGGGGAGGGGTGAATACAGCCCAAGCTTGGAACATGATGCCTAGTAGGGAAATCAGTATTTTTTCCCGTCCTCCAAACAGTTTGATTTGTGACAGCCAACGCAGCTGTCAACATAGTGGTGAAGGCACCAGCTGTAGGAGATGACCAGGCAGAGCCTGAGGGAGGGGTCAAACCAAGGGTGAAATCCAGCAGGTTCTGACAGGTTCTGGAGAACCGGTAGCGGAAATTTTGAGCAGTTCGGAGAACCGGCAAATACCACCTCTGGCTAGCCTCTGGAGTGGGGTGGGAATGGAGATTTTGCAGTATCCTTCCCGTGCCACACCCACCAAGCCACACCATGCCTACCAAGCCACGCCCACAGAACCGATAGTAAAAAAAAATGGATTTCACCACTGGGTCAAACATATTATCAGTCTTGAGTCCCTTCCTGCCCACAAGAGACCTAAATCCAGCCCACCTTCAGTTCCATTGACTCTTATTTACCGCCAATTTGCTTGGACCATTAATAGTTCAGATTCTTGTAGGGAGTGTTAGCATGCAATAAATATATATTCATTTGAACTGCCTTCTTCTTGATTTCTTGCACGTAACACCAGGTTAGAAACGGAAAAGCCATCTATTTTAGTGCCACCTTAGCTGAATGACCTTGGGCCAGTCATAGTCCTAGCAAGCAGGCAGTGGCAAACCAGTTCCAAAATCTTGCCAACAGTGTTGCAGACAACAGACTTGAAGGCACACACACACACATAAACACACACACGCACACAATTGCTACCCAAACAGTAGGATCAATGGTCACTCAATGATCCTGACTGGAAGGTGTCTGATTCACACCTTAGTGAATTGATTGATTAATTTTTTCAGTGTAAATCAACAAGAGGCATACTGGAACTGAGCTTATCAGTAAACTGTGGGATTCATTCCCACAAGATGGGACAATGATGAATAACTTGGGTGTCTTAAAAGAAGACTGAAAAAAATTCATGGGTGATGAGGGTTAGTCTTATTGCTTAACGCATTGTAAGCCGCCCTGAGTCTCCAGAGAAGGGCGGCATATAAATCAAATTAAAAAAAAAAAAATTCTGAGGCAAGGGTGGCCTGTCTTCATATACCCCTTGCAGGGAAACTATGGTGGGAAAGGGAAGGTCCTGCTGCTGGGTCCCTAGAGATGTCCCTTTGGGCCCTGGGAGGAAGAAGGGTGGGCTCATCCAGCAGGTCCCTTATTTCACAAGCTGTGCCCCTTAGAGGAGGAGTGGGTAAGGCAGCAGTTTCCAGGTCCCTGCAGGCATCTCTGCAGCATTCCTCCATCACCCCAGAGAGAAGAACAGAGAGAAAGGCTCTGTTGAATAGAATAGAAGCCACATTCTGAATAAATGCTAGGAAAAGCTTCATGAGTTAGCACTCACAAGCCTGCGGACCACCAAATTTCCCCCAAAGTGCTCCAGACCAGGGAACGGGCTCCTGAATGAAAAGTACAAGCTTTTCTTGATCAGGTGGGCTTTTCTCAAGCCCAGGCCATCTCCAGGGCCAGCCTTTCTGAATTAAATCTACCGCCATGCCAAAACTGAGACTCCCATCCCAAAAGACCTTCAACGGCACTGACAGGAAATCCAGGAAGATGTGTATATTTCAGAATCACCAATGAATATTGTTGGGAACAAGAAGCTGGCAAGGGAAGGCATGGAATCCAGGAGGCCACATGCTCACATAACGCCCCTGCCAAAGCAAAAGCAGCTCTGGCGTTTTAGTCTGGCCTAAAACAATTCAGTCCCTCACAGCCCTGCTGCTCCCGCCGCCATTTCCCAAGTCCTGCTGCACTCCAGGCCCCACTGGGCTGCCCCGGTTGCGCCTTGCAAGGCTGAGATCCAGCCCCCCCCACCCTCCCACTCACAGGCCTCTTCCTGGCTGCTGAAGGGTTCGGTGGCAGCTGGAGGCCCCAGAGCCATTTGGATTGACCCTTCTCTTCAGCTGCGCTTAGGCAGGTGGCAAGGCCAAGATGGAGGACGGAGCCTTCCTGCGCCAGCCCCACAGGCAAGGGGCTCCCCATTGCCTGCCTATTTCCCTAGCACTGCTTTTGAGATCAGAGGAAGAGGAACAGTAGCAGCCGCAAAACAGCTCCTCTATTAATATTCCAAGCCAAGTACTTTATTGGCCCTCCAGGGAAGATGCATCCCAACTGCTCATTTGAGGAAAGGAATTAAAGCTGCATTGGGCACAGCAATTCACATCCCATCACAAAGCAGTGATGAGACCATTAGCGCTAGGCAAGATGGGAAAAATGTTTTGTCTTTTCATCATCATGGCAGCCATTTGGAAACTGTAGCACCAAAGCCCTTTTGGCTGGTGTTCAGAAAAACGATAACTCAAATGCTTTCCTTCACTTCCCAGCAGAGGGTCATGAATGCCCCTTGAAGCTGGTGGGTTTCAAAACAGCTGAAATTGCCCCATGGAAAACCACCCATGCTACGTACTCTTCTAAGGCAAAAGGTCCTCGGAGTTTCAGGAAACATCTGTCCTCGGCTCATTGAAAATCACATTAACAAATACAACACCTGGAACATCATGGAGAATTATACACCATGAAAATCTTGGCCATTCTCTGGCCACGTCAAAGAGAACATCAAAGCTTGATATTGTCTAGCACCTTATGATTTTATTGTAGCCTCTATTTTACTTCACTAATAAACTACCTTAGGTAATTTGTGGAAAGTTTCTAGAAATTCAGGGATGCCCTTGAAGAGCACCTGGAAGCTTCAAATGGTCTGGAATGCAGCATCACTGGCAGTGATGGGCATGCCTTAGGTTGCCCATGTGACAGCTCTGCTTCACAAGCTGTACTTGCTTGCTACTACGTGAGGTTTAAGGTGATGGCTATAATCTATGAAGTCCTTCATGACACAGGGCCTGGCTATCTGAAGGACTGAATACCTGTGGTGTCAGCCTTGCCACATTAATCCAAGAGTTGGTAGGGACTGATTCCTTTGAGTCAACAGTGACATCTATTAGGACCCCTGAAGCTCACCTTCTCAGTCATTGCACTTGCCTTCTAGAATGAGGTTCCCCCTGAGATCCAGAGAATTTCTGCCCTGAAAGCATTTTGTAGGGCCTTACAGATTTGAATCTTCTCTGCATGTTTAGTATGTGATATGCTGCGCTGATCAGTTTATGTTGTGAGCCACTCAGAGTTGTTTGGAGCTGGATGGGACTCAATTAAAATAATAAATATACAAAATATGCAATCTACCTACTTTTATACTGTATGCTTATCAACACAAAGCCACATTTATATGAGAACCTCCATTTATATCTCTATGCCCTTGTAGATACAAATATGTTAACTGATGATTATTCACAATAGAAATATAAAAATTACAAAAAGGCAAAGCAACTAAACTCTGTGAAGAATGGTTAAAAGAGTAGAGTATGTGTTAATCTAAAGAAGAGAAGGCGACTCTTCTGCCAGCAGCCTTCCAAGTTCTGGAGGTGGGAAGAGGGTCTGGATTTGTTCTCCATGGGGACTGGGAAGAAGACAGCTTCGTAGAGAAAGATCCTCACTTGAAATAATGATGATTCCCTATGATTCTATAAGATCCTTAACAGCATGCACATTCTGCAACCTTTACTGTACCCCTGCTATGCAATATTTTAACTTTTGTTTTTTTTAAACAATTGGTATTGATGTGTTATTTCTTTTAGCATAAGACCCTTGGGGGAGGTGAAAAGTGGCTGACAAATATTTTGGGAAGTCCTTAATGAAATCGACACATAGCCTAGATGACATAATGGAGCAGTTCCAGTGCCTCAAGCCAGTGAGTGCACTTTCCAGAGACAAAGGGGCACCCGAGAAGTGGCAGCTGCCTCCCATGGAGCTCTCTCTGCAGCCTACTTGGCACACACCTTCCTTGAAAAAGAGTCCCTGGCAGAAGAGCAGCAGAGAGTGCAAATCCAGGAAGAGAAAACAGCAAAATATCTCATAAATAAAGAGAAGAAATTCAGATTGGCTGGTAAAGCCTCTGCAGGTCAAAAGGGGCAGAATAGATTTTTCATATAAAATGGAAGTTACAGGATTGGTGGTAGTTATGAGACAGACGCATAGAGTTAAATCCATCTAATCTCCTTTACCATTTAACGGTGTACATCATCCTAATTCCATCTTTCATAAAACTGCCTCCAAATCAGCAAGAGAGATTAAAAATGTAGGAAAAGCCTGCAATATTTTTAAAACAGAAATCACTTCTGGCATCTGGTCACAAGCCTTGGATGTAACCTACATACCAGAGGCATTAATTTAGATTCTACCTTCAGAAATTATGTAAAAAGGGGGCCTCCCTACAGAAACAAAGGGCAGCACAACAGTGGTACCCAGATAAAGATTCTGCATTCCCAGCACTGGAAAAAACACATTTTCAAGTTCTCAGTGAGCAATCTACCAAAATTGCAGGATATTGCAACCTAAGAGTATTGAAATATTAATGCTTCTGCTTTGTTCAAGGAATCTTTATCATTCCACTCCAATATTGACTTGTTTTCCTCGCTCAACTTTTACAATGTTGGCAAAGTTAGACTGGCCTAGCTAGAGAATCCACCCCCATTTACAGATGTAAATCACAGAGGTGTCTCAAACCCAGCCAATCAATTTCTCAGCCCTCCACCACTTGCAGCTGTCCCTGATTGTGCAAAGGAGACCCCACCAACGTCCCATAACCAAACTCAAAGGAAAAGAGGGCCTCTTGTAAGGGATACCTGCCCCTTGCACAGCATGTTCCTGGCTGTCCCCCTTCAGAGTCAGCTGGCTGATTGGCCCAGGAGGGCCAAAACAGTCAGAATGTAGATATCACTACCAGTTAGTCATCTTCAGGGTAAAAGTGGTCCCTGTGAGTTGGCTGCTCTTGCACAAAGATTTGGAAAGCCAAAGAACAGCCCTCCAAAATGAGAGGGCTGTAGTACTGTGAAGCGGTATATCAGTCTAAGTGCTATTGCTATTGCTATTGCTATTGCTTAGCTGACCAGAGCTGATTTGGTGCAGCAATATTGGAAGAGCAAATATTTGTCCTCTGAGACCAGAAGACACATCCTGTCCCTTCTCGTGAGGTTGGTCCAGCCTAAATGTCATTCCTCCCACTTTACTTGGCTGAAATTAGTCACCTACACAGTCTTCAGTAAGGTTTTTGCCTCCTTGGAAAAAGTCACCTGACAGCCAGGTAGGAGACCAGGCAGTCCATAGACAAGCCTCTATCCCTCAAAGGCAGGGTCTGTTCCAGGCTGATTAGCAGGGGAGGAGACAGGCAGGGCAGGGTGACCAGGCTCACCCAGTGGAGGTTACAAAGAGGCTGCCCAGTAAGTCCTTCTCTGCCCAGGTACCACTCGTGGCAGGGAGGCATGTATACATGCTGGAGCCAAAAAGGAGGCTGCCTCTCTCTGAGAGGCTACATAGCCTTTGTCAAAATGTGACAAGAGGAGCCATGCCAGAGGAAGGCAGTCTCGGGCCGAGCCATGAACATGCAAATGCTGTGACTCATAAGGAAGACCTTGTCCCAGTTAGTGGGGGAGACTGCAGCCCAAGGAGCCCCCACCTGCCATCACTGAGAGGATAGACTATACATGCCTTTTCCAGGCCTGCCTCATAGTTTGGGGATCAGATGGGCAAAGGAAAGAGGTGGGTTGTGCTGTACCCTCCTCCGGCATTAAGAGCAAGCATTTCCTTACTGGGATTTGTAAGCAAATGGGGTAGGGGGAGGGAAGAGCATTCACCCATTGCATCCGACTCCTGAATTCACCTACTGATTCCTGCCCCTACCCACATCAGGGCAAGGAGACCCTATCCACTGGAGACCCTGGAGACCCTATCCGGTCAGGGGCTTTGGAAGACAAAGCTTGACAACAGAATAAGCTACCAATGAGCCAGTAGGGGGACCTTGGCATGCGGTCTTGAAGTCCAGCTGCCAAGGCTACAGGAACCCTTAAATAGTGTGCATAAAGCAAAGGTAATCCTATAACCGGAAAGAACTAAAATGTTCCACAAAAATAGAACATCCCTGGTTTCTTTGCATCTACTGAGATGCAATAAATGGTTTTGCCCATTTTTGATTTCGCAAGGAACTAAAATTGACGAGGCCTCTGAAAATGCAATTCCTCATTTGGAAACTGGCTGTTCCCTTTCCTGTTCTGGGAACAGTTGCCTCCTGGCTGCTGGAGATTGGCAAGGGCTCGGTCTCTGCTCCTGACCAAGGGATGAATTCACACCTCCCAGCAGCACACTGCAGAATGGGTGGGCCGCCATGTTGGGAGGCTCTCAACACAGAAAGGAAGGCAGCTTTTTTCCTTCTCCCCCAGAGCTTCGATGCGGACAGGAACAGATGGGGAGGCTCACCCCCCTTCTTCTCTTGCTGTGCTGCCAGGGACAGGAGGTGCCTACAGGATGAATGGCAAAGCCAGAATTTCTGCCCAGCTCCCTCTAGACAAGGGCAACTTTTCCAGGTGGATTCCAACCAAGAGGTCTTTTGCAGCCACTGCCCAGTTTTGGAGGGCTTTGAGGTCCGTCAGTATTGGTTGGGTGTGGGGAAGATGCAGCTGCCCCATCTGTTACCTGCTCTGAATGCAACTGCTCAGCAGAACTTGGGATGTGCAAAGCCAGTTTTTTCCCAGTTTAATGAGGATCCATGTTTAATTTCCATGGCAAACAAAGCAAGGCACAGTGAGGTGGGGGGAGGGAGGTTTTCAATGGAGACTCTATGGCTGCCTGAACTGAATAAGAAGACAGAAAATGACAGGTGTTCCCATCACACTAAGCACCTGGACCATCTCCAGCCTGTGACAGGAAACCAAGGTGTTCTTTTCTATTCCCTCTCCCATCACAAAAGCCGTGGCACCCAGCTCCACCCAACAAACTCCCAACCTGTCCTTGTAAGCCATTCATTGGGAAGTGGGGATTTTTAATAATGAAGATACCAAAAAGATCTAATCTACTGAGAGATATTCCCAAACTTCCGTGATATCCTGGTACAAACAGTTGGTTTTTTTGTTCTACAGGAGCCCATTTCATACAGCACAAACTATTAAGCTTCTGTGCTTTGATGCACCATTATATTAAATATCGAAAAGATTTTTCATGCATTAAGACATTCCATTTCTTTTCTTAATGTCACCTAACCTCTGTAGCATTATTATTCACTTTCTGGAACCGCTTCAGTATAATACTTGGTAACAAAGAAGCAGTTAGGATCCTTATTTTTTAATCATGGCTTCCAAAAAGGGATGAGGCAGTAGAAGATTCTCTTTCAGAATGAAGGTTGTTCGATTTGGTCTCCACAAAAACCAAACCAGCCCCGACACCTTCCTCGCCACCGGCATTGAAAATGATCATTGCATCTCACATGAAGTTATTAGTCTGGCTGTGAAAAATCAAAAGGGTCTCAGCTCAGATTGTGTCTTCTTTTTTCCCCTGCCTTTCGCACAGTCAAAATGCAAATGAAGGCAAATCAGACGCTGGCATGGATGGCAGCGACAAGGAGAAAGATCTGGGCAGCATTCTAGAAAAACAGGCGAGCCCTGGTTTTAATTAAAAAGTTTTGGGATGATTAATCACCCATTTTCCGATATCTGGGCATGTCCCTAGAAGGAATAAATAGGAATAAGTAAATGCTGTTTCTGTATCTTGCCCCCCATCAACGTTTCTGACTGAACCAAAGGTAGAGACACTTGCTCAGCAGGAGAGAATAGCTGATGCCAGAACCTATGAAGCCGAAGAAGAGCCAGGCACCCCCGAAATGCTGCCGCCACGGCTGCACGATGTGGCTGGAAGCTCCTGCACCAAACAGATGGCAGAAGCTCCCGCTGCCCGTTCTTTTATGCAGCGCAGATCGATTACTCTACATCGGATTGTAATTTCATCCAAGGCAACCTCCCATCGCCTTCTCATTTCAACAGCTTCATTAGTTTGGCCCCAGTTTTGACACACAAGATCGCTGCTCCTGATCTGAAGCTGAAGCATCTGAAGCAATTGCATTTTCCACCTACCCCCTAAGGCTGCCCCTCCGATTCCATCCCATCTCTATCAAACTGCCGAGTTGGATTGATAGAAGCACTTCCAGATTTTAAAGGCCCGCCGGGCTTGGGAATATGTGTTTCCTGGGTTTCAAAGATGGTTCTCCATCTACTTTGAGAACTGGAGACAAGAGAACAAAGCTCTAAAAGTAACGCGCTCCGCGTTAAGCCTTGAACATTCTCGCTTGGAGCACTGGCAGAAACGCTGCGCTAGAGTCTACCCGACATTCATGTAATTAAGGACATTTCTGCAGCGATGGGCTGAGGGAGGTGGGTGGGATTCATTTTAATTTCCTATTGAATGATTTCAGGGCTCTAACCGTGCGGCTGCCGGCTGAGAGTCGGAGGGGAGCTGACTGCTCAGTCCCGGCAGAGGCCGGGAGGCAAATGGTCCCACAGCAGTCCTTGCCTCTTCAAAAGGGGCTGCCGGCACCCACCGCGGGCGGCAGGACAAAGGGGCGGCAGCCGTCCGGGGCCCAAGGGAGGCCGCCATCCCTTCGCCAGAGGGGCAAAGAGGGGACGCTATTAGCCGGCCGCCAGGAGCAGCCTCGGTGGCAAGCCTGGGCACGCTTAGCCGCTGCCCCTACCGAGCTGGGGAGGGCAGAGGGATCGCAAGCTGCTCCGGTCTCTCCTGGAGGGAAGGACGGCCAGGACAGGGAAGCAGCTCCCGCAGAAAGTCCTGAAGTTCCCGCCCCGACGGGGCGACCCGCCGCCGCCCGCTCGACGCGCCGCCGCCTACCTGGGCTGGTCCAGGAGTTGAGCAGCAGGAGGCAAGAAGTGACCAGCCACATGCCATCCAGGGGGGCCGATGCCGCGGGCGGGCGGGCGCCCTGCCTCTGCCCGTGTCCCCGGCCGGCCCTCGCCAGCTTCCCCCGTCGTCGGATGCTCCGCGCTCCTCACGGCCAGCCCGCCCGCCCGCCAGCCTAGCGCTACGCTCAGCCGCTCCGACTGTCAGCCGGCGAGCGAGCGAGCGAGCGAACGAAGGAACGAACGAACGCGCGGACGAGCTAGCGAGCGAGCGAGCGGGCGGGCGGGCGGTGAGGGAGGAGGAGCGGGCGGCCTCCCACATCCCCGCCCACCAGCCGGGAGGGGGAGAAGGGGCGCCTCCGCGCCGGGCCCTGGACAGGTGCCCCGCTAAGGCGGGCGGGCGAGCGAGCGCCACCTCGCAGGGGTCTCTGTGCGGCCCGCCCGCCCGGGAACTCGCCTCCCCTCAGCCCGGCCCGGCTCCCAGCTGAAGCCCCCGAGTGCCGGTTTGGGTCCCCCGTTTACCTCCGGCAGCTGGGAGCGGCCTCCTCTTCGTCGGCCTCGCCTTTCCGAGGAAAGAGACAGTGGAAAAGGCGACGGGCTGTTCTTGCTCGCGGCCGAACCTGGGCTGGGCAGGCGGTTCCGGCGCCGAGCAGCTGGTTTCTCCTTCGTGTAACCAGTAAGGAGGGACTGCCGGTGTCTCCACTCCGCGGCAGACAAAAGTTTTCCGGACCCGTCGGGGACTTGGCGGCTGGCCCTCAGGCGGTCAGGCACGGCCGTCTGGCGCAGTTGGAAAGGCCTAAGCCAGTCGACCCCGGGGCAACTAGCCTGCCCGGCCCGGCAGGTGCGCGACCCGAGCCATTCGCATATCGAAATGGACTCCCCGGCCAACCGTGCCCAGGTTCAGGTCCTCCGGGGGACCAGCGGCCACGGCTTCATCCTCACTCCCGGAGTCTCGGCCGGAGCCGGTCGGCTGTTGGAGGGCGCGCCTGCGACACGTGGGGACCTTTCGGCACACGGGGAAACGGCCTCCGCCTGAGGAACCGGACCGGGAGCGCCCCTCCTGAGAAGGGCAGGCGGGGCTGAGCCGTGGGGTCGCCCGTGCGTGACCGGCGGTCAAGGACCGACCTTGCCGCCTCTCGGCCCTCCCGCGCTGCGCCTCAGCATTCGGCCGCTCCCCCCGCCCATCCCTCTCCGGTGACGCCCCGACGGGCCCCGCTCTTCCTGCTCTCCAAGCGCGCCGGCCCTGGCCTGGCGACCTCGCCCCCGCTCTCGGCCAGTCCTGGGTGGACCAGGCGAGCAGAGCGAACGGCCTAAGTCTGAATTAGGCAGAGCGAGCGAAGCCTTGAACTCCCAACACCCGGGAAACGTTCCGCAGGAAGATTCCCCTGGAGCGGGAGAGGTTTCTGGGGGGCCTCGGGGTCTGCATAGTCAGGAGAGAAAGGGCAAGCCAGCCACAGATCGACTTACTTGCTCTGGGGAGATGGAATCCCAAAGACAGCTCAGCTGGGACTTCTTCCCCTAAAGCAGGGGTGGGGAACTAAGCCCCTTTATGACTTGTGGACTTCAACTCCCAGAATTCCTGAGTCAGCATGCGAGAATTCTGGGAGCTGAAGTCTACACGTCATAAACGGGCGGTAGTTCTCCACCCCTGCCCTAAATGCGAGGGCAGCAGCGTATTCTGGAAAGTTCCTCCAAAGGAATCTCTCACCGGTGGGGATTTTTCAAACTCTGAAGCCTTTTGATCAAAATCTCCCCCAGCAATTAGAGGAGAAAATCAAGATTTAGTCCTCCCTGGCACATTTTGTTGATGACATAGCCTTCAGAGGTAGCCCAAATGTGATTGTGCCTTGGCAGTGCTAAAGGACCTGTCCTGAAGAAATGGGCCTGGACTGGCACTGTCCAGTTGCCCAAGGTAGCAAGGTGAAGACAGGGAAGGGAGGGGGCTCTGTAAGATCTTAATATAACAGTATCTTAATACAGGTAGTCCTCGATTTACAACAGTTCATTTAGTGGTCATTTGAAGTTACAACAGCATTGAAAAAAGTGACTTATGCTCATTTTTCACACTTATGACCGTTGCAGCATCCCCATGGTCATGTGATCAAAATTCAGACTCATGACCAGTTGCAATGTCCTGGGATCAGTGATCATCTTTTGTGACCTTCTGACCAACAAAGTCAATGGGACAGCCAGATTCACTTAACCATGTTACTAACTTAACAACTGCAGTGATTCACTTAACAATTGCAGCAAGAAAGGTCATAAAATGGGGCAAAACTCATTGAACAACTGTCTCATGTGGGAACAGAAATTTTGGGCTCAATTGTGACTGTAAAGCTGTGAGGGAGGGTCTGCGGGAAGGATACCTTGGGAGGGTACCATTCTCTTCCTAACGGGGCTGGAATTGGAGGTGGGAGCTGACTGGAAATGAGGTGACCTCTTCCCGTCTGTGTGAGATGGTGTGGGAGGGCTAGACGTACATTAGGAGCCACATCTCAACCCTACATAGCAAAACAGTAGAAGGTATCATCAATATCACGTAGGCACAACACTAGAAAAGTTAAGGAAGTTTTAATTCCGGGTCTAGTACGGGCCAAAACCCAGCACAATAAAACTACTATTTGTTCACAAGCATTCTGGTTCTAAAGTGAGAATAATTCCAGCCGTAATTGTGGACAAGATCACTCTCCCTTTAAAGGAGCTGAACTTCATTTTGCAGAGACTCCTAGACTCACGGCTGCTGCTGCTGCTGATACAGCAGGTAAAGGCAAGCCAGCTGAGGTGGGTGTGCCAATTGCGATCTTACTTAAGGAAGATGCTCTGACCACTGTGATTCACATACTGACCATCCTGCAGTTAGATTACTGTAAAACCCTGGAGCATGGGACTACCCTTGAAGTTCATTCAGAAGCTTCGGCTGGGTTGGCTGTTAGACACTATGGAACTACAGTGCAAACTGTAGAATATCAATTCTTTGGTTGCTGTCTGGGTTGCTAACAGACTTCCATTCAAAGTGCTTCAGTTTTAATCTTTAAAATGGTACCCTGCTTGGCTACATATTACCTCCACTTGTATCAACTGGGACTGGAAATAATTAGTCCAAAAAGCAAGTCTCTCAGAGTTCTGATTAGTAATATTTATTGGAAAAAACTCTGATTCCAAAACGTACTCTACTCTCAAATAAGAAACTTATTTCCTGCCTGGACTACTGCAATGCTTTCTACATGGGGCTCCCCTTGAAGAGCACCCGGAGGCTCCAACTGGTCCAGAATGTGGCCGCGCGGGTGATTATGGGAGCGTCATGGCGCTCCCATGTAACACCTCTCCGGCGTGAGCTGCAGTGGCTCCCGGTGGTCCTCCGGGTGCGATTCAAGGTGTTGGTGACCACTTTTATGGCTTACGGCCTGGATATTTACGGGACCGCCTTCTGCCACCAAGAGCCTCTCACTGGCCAGTACACTCCCACAGAGAGGGGCTCCTCCGGGTGCCGTCGGCCAAACAATGCCGACTGGCGGCTCCCAGGGGGAGAGCTTTCTCTGTGGGAGCACCTGCCCTCTGGAACGAGCTCCCCCTGGAGATACAGACGATTCCAGACTTTCATACTTTCCGTGGGGCCTTCAAAACCTTTTTATTTCATCAAGTCGGGCTGGCCTAATCTCTCCAATTGTGTATTTTAATTTGGATTTTTAATGGGGGATTTTAACTGTCGGGCCAAAATGTTTAATTTATTTTTAAATTGTTTTAAAATTTTGTATTTGATGTTTTTTACTTCTGGCTGTTCACCGCCCTGAGTCCTTCAGGAGAAGGGCGGTATATAAATTTAAATATTAAATTAAATTAAATTAAATTAAATTAATTATATGTAGGCAATTTCAGTTGGCAAGATGCTGACTTTTTTTCACAATTTTTTATACAGTGGGGAAGAGCCTTGTCTCTTTTTGAACATGACTTACTTGGGAACTGTTTTGTTCAAGAAAAACTGTCCTGTCTCACAATGTGCAAAAAGAGATGCTGGGATCCCATCTCTACAAGAATTGTGGGGAGAGGGCAACAGGGGCCTGAACGTAGTGTTTCTCTGTGATGGATAGTCCCATGCAGCCCCTGCTACCTGCAAGGTTTGCCTGGGCTCTGCCCTTTTAGCCTACCACAAATAAGCAAAAACCATTATGTTTCTGCAGAGATTTAAAGTTCAATAGGATGATGACTATCCAGGCAACCGTTTTTGTTTTCATTTCTGTTTTTGTTCTAGTAGAACCCTATTGTTTTTACATGCAGTTTCTTATATTTATGTTATATTTTATATAATATTTTATGTAATTCACTTGGAATCAAGATGGAACTGGACAGCACAAAAGTACTGGAAATAAATAAGCAAACAAACTAGCAATATCCAGGAGCTGGAGCATGGGTGATGTTTTCAGACCCCTTTTTCTTTCTTTGGGGTATAACCTTTGACCATGGAGTAGTCTTTCCATGCCTCCCCTCCTCCCCCAGCAGGGGATTCTGCAGTCAGGCCCTTTGATTGAGAAGGCTCAGCTCTAGTCATCCCTCTGTGGCCATCTCTGTGGTGGGGGAAGCACCTTTGTGTCTTACATTCTTTAGGAGCTTATTTGCCTCACTCTCTTCCTCCGGGTTGGCCCCTTTCTGCGTACAGGAAGACTGTCATTCATTCATAGTCAGCAAAAGGGACCTCACTCCTTTCTTCATCACTATCAGATTAATCTTACTCTTGGGAAGGTGAGGGTCTTTTTGGTCTTCTTGGAAACATGCCTTCCTTTCCCTAAAATTAGATATTCAAATAATGTTATCCTTCCACCCCCTTCCCATCTTCTCTTCTCAGAGTAGACCATTCCTTCTCATGATCTTCTGTGTTGCCTTTTCTGAAGCCTCTACCCTTTCTTTCTTCTGGGTTTCCTCTTACCCATCTTCTGTGGCCTGGAAGGATGCGGGAAATAATACAGAAGATGCTTCTTTTCAGGGCTATGATAACATAATAGGAAAAAAACCCTTTACTAGAATAAAGTCCATCTTGCTATGATAAAATCAAACCAAAGGCAAGCAAAGGCAAAAATAAAAACCACACAAAATCAAAATTAGGTTTAACCAAAAACACTTTTTAAAAAAAGCATTAAAATTGTTTCATGAAATTCAAATAAGCTACTTCAAACTATCAGAGGCCCTTAATTTTTTGAAACTAAGTTGGAAGAAATC